GGTGACGTAGTAGGGCGCTCCTGTGTCCCGGGCAATCGGTGGAGGGCAAGCTAGTTCCGGCTCCGCGTTTCTCGCCGTCTGGCTGCCCTCTCCTCCCCCCCCTTTTATTCTCTTCCAACATGACAACGCGATCTCTCTCTCTTTCTCTCGCCGTCTGGCCGGCCAGTCTGTCGCAGTTGCACTTTGCTTGTGCGCTCGACGCTCGTGCCTGCGTGCGCGCTCGCCCGAAGTTTCGCCCGTCCAAACCAAAGCGCATGGTTCTGACTCAGAAAGCGCGCCCGGAAACAGCAAAAACGCCACGAAATGCGTCACATCCGCAGCCGCACGACCTACAGGCGAAAAAAGAAGCGTTGGTTTGGATCGCGCTTTATGAAGCACGTTATAAAATTCCTATAACGCTTCTTCTGCTCTACAAGCAGCCAAAGACACCAAAACTCGCCGTTCAATCGGTCGCTACTCCTACTCTACCCAACGAGGCATCCGCACCACCACAGGTCAACCGTCGCAGCAAGTTCAAACTCGGACGCGGGACCGGCAGTAGGAGAGTAGTCGTTCCCGGCGCCTCCGTGTCGCTCGGATTCCGTTCGCATGTGTTTCGCGCGAGGACGGAAACACTTACTAAATATGCGCGTGTAGTCACAATTTCTGAATCCCGGGGACAAAATCTTGTTTTGCCAAGGCTTCTTTCCAAAATAGCTACTCGAGTGATGCTTCGTCCATTTCGTCGAAGGCTTGTGGCAGCCATTATTGACGAGGGGACTAAAGTATTCATTAGGAGAGCAACTCCAGTGGGAGCAGCCAAATTCCCGCGTGACGAACTGCTCAAGTTACCGCTTCTTAACACAGGAAGCTAGGGTCGTGGGGATGAAAGATGGTTAGTGGTCCTTTTAAGCTCCCTTTTCTTTACAAGTGTAACTTGAAGGTCAAGGAAGTTCAGTTCCGCAAGTCCTGGCCCGATACTTGTCAAGCTTCGTCTGCGGCAAGGCGAGCTCTTTAAGAACTTCGGAACCAGCGACCCTGCCTGGCTGCTGGTTGTTCCTGCCAGCCTGCGAGAAGAAATCTTTTAAGCATGCCATGACGACCCGACGGCTGGACACCTTGGCTACAGCTGGGCGGTCGCCCGGATTTATGATAAATACTACTGGCCAAGGCTCCCGAAAACCGTACATCTTACATCGTGCCATGAGTGCCAACGACGTAAGAAGCCTCCGACGAAGCCAGCAGGACTCCTGCAGCCAATATCTGCCCCGACTACTCCCTCCAGCAGGTCAGAATGGACCTAATTGGGCCATTCCCAAAGTCGGCGAGAGGAAACCGGTAGATTATTGTCGCGACCGATTATCTTACACGATACGCCGAGACGAATGCCCTTCCATCGGACACAGCGGTTGAAGTCGCCAAGTTTTTCGTCGAGTCCATTCTCCTTCGACACGGCGCACCGGAAGTGCTGATCACAGATCGAGGATAATCTTTCCTGGCCCAGCTGATGCAAGAAATCCTTTGTCTCAGCCACATCAGCCATCGTCGCACCATGGCGTACCACCCGCAGTCCAACGGGCTGACGGAGAGACTCAACAAGATCATCGCCAATATAATCTCCATGTAAATCGAAGTGGAGCACAATGCATGGGATGAGGTGCTGCCGCATGTTACGTTTGCGTACAATACAGTGGTTTAAGAAACCACTGGAATGACGCCGTTCCAACTGGTGCACGGCCGGACAGTTACCACGATGCTCGACGCCATGCTGCCTCAGGTGCCTACCGACAATGGCAGCGACGATGCTCAACAGGCCTCTCGACGCGCCGAGGAAGCTCGTCAACTGACAAGAATCAAGACTCAAGACCAACAGCGAGTCAACGCACGGCGGTATAACCTTCGTCGCAGGGACGACCGGTTATAGGTGTTGACACAGATTCGACGCCGCGGTCTCAGCGAAAAACTGCTGAAGCGCTATTTTGGGCCTTACAAGATCATCCGACGCCTCGGAGATCTGAACTACGAAGTTCTTCCCAACGAAATACGACCATCAACAAAACGTCAGCCGCGACCCGAGGTGGTGCACGTCGTCCCGTTGAAGCTTTATAACGAACGATAGGACTTTCCACTCTCGTCGACGAGTGACCTGTGAACTGTGGGTAACGATTTTGCTGTCCTTTTGTCGTGAATTTGTTTTTTTCGTTTTGTGCCGCAAAAAGGGAGCAATAATGCCGCGAGCGCAGCTGACCGAGTAGGGAAAGCCCCCGTGGCGTTCCCTACTTGGTTAATTTCCTCCTGTTTATTTATCGTTCTTTTAATCACCACCCGTGACAATATTGATTGGGCCATTTGCGCGCCTAATGCTGTTGAGCGAGTCTCAGGGTTGCTTCCCAATTCCTAGTTTTGAAAATGCACACAAACAAGATAGCAAAATGATGCACTTACTTCTCGAAGGCGGCCGGCGAGCCTCTCTCGGGAAAAGGGTCATTTCGGAAGTGCTGCAACTAGCCCCCTTGCGGCGCAAATCGCGGACTACTCGTTCTAATTTGTTTCATGCACCCACACAAACGTGCTGGCTGGGTTGGAACTGGTATATTTTTGTCGGATAAGCCTAAAAAAAGTATATTTGAACCCGCACATTTGTGTGGGCAGGGCAAGAAACAGTTAAGTCGTTATTCAAAGGTGGGAATTGAGGAAAGCTTGAAAGTTATCGCCCATCATGAATCTTGCCTTTGTTGTCTAAAAAGTTTGGAGACGCATCTGTTCACGTTATGACGTCATTCTTTGAGAAGTATAACCTTATGTCATCTTGCCGGTACGACTTTGTCAAAGATCGCGGCACATTGCCTCTACTGGAAGAGCTCTCGGAAGTGTTGAACACCACTTTTGACAATAATCAAATCTCCCGTGCTCTGTTTCTTCATGTATTCAAGGCATTCGACACGGTGAGTCCTCAAATGCTAGAATACTACTGAATATTCATGGCTAGTGAGGTACTTTTATTTCACTTCTTTCCAAGTTTTTTAACTAGCCGGCCTCAGATGACGTTTGTTAGTGACAGAAAAGGGTCTAGAGCTTGTACGAAAAAGGGAGTACCGTAGGGTACTTTTTTTAATTCTATGATTTAACATTTGTGTTAACGACATGCAATCATCTATTCAGAACTGTACCCTTTATAAGTACGCAGAGGACACCTTGCTTTTATCTCGTCATATAAAATATAGTATCGCTATAGATATGCTGCAAGATTACGCTATACACTCTTGGATTGGTTTACGCCAAATGCTAATAATATAAATTGCTCAAAAACAAAACTTGTTCTTTTTCCCAACCCACTAAGCAATTTTTGACTAGATAGGCCATTGATTCTGCACGTGTCGTGTTGTGCAGATTGTACATGAGTCCATGTCGAATACGTTTGTGATGCTAAGTACATGGGAATTTGTTCCTTTCTGATTTATCTTAGAAAACGCAGATGGCAAATATTTGAATAGAATGACGCGAGTAGCCTGTCCATTGTATTCTATTAAGGAGTTTGACCCGATGTGTATTCGGATACTTATCATGCAGAAATTGGGATACACTATTGTAAGGTATGGCATTACTTTACTATGAAACTCTCCCATGCGATAGAATCAAAGGATCGATGGTGTCTTGAAAAGTATGCTGAAAAGCGTAGCTTACAACTCGGAGTTTCTTGCAGAAGACATCTTTTTTATATCACTTGAGTTTCCTAATTTTGAATCTCTATTCATGCAGACCATTATCACCAGGAACTACTGGGACAGCTCCCTTAAGAAGCGAAAGTGTGTGTGTAGGTCCTTCAGGAGCAATCAACGGTTTGAGGTTCCGAGACGAGAAACAGGTTTTGGAGAAAGCGTAATACCTTTTTATGTACCAAACAGTTTCAATGAGCTTCACAAAGAGTTAACTAACCTAGAGGCAGTGAAAAAACTAAAGACCTCGCGTGAGCTGCTAAGCCCCGTCTCAAGACCGAGGGAGACAAAATCTTATCTTGCTGTTTTTTTATGTGATACTTTGTGTGTCACTGCTTTAGATTTGACATTAATGTGGTGTCTCATGCTGTGAGTAATTATGTCGAATTAACCTTTTACTACCTACGTGTATTTGGAAACAAAATTTGTTAGCATTTGTGATTTTCTGTTTGACTTCACGAGCAGCATGGTCATCGAGGTGGTGCTCAACATAACGAGCCCTAGATGGCTTTGATGAAACAATTTATGCACCTGGTTTATGTGTTCATGCATTAAGCATAGTTATTATCATTATCATTTATAATTTTATTATTATTAATGTGGCAGCAAGTGTTGTGATCCGGACGACTGAATCGCAAATGGTTATGTTATAAGCTTACAAGCTTGAGATACACAGATTAGTGCACGTGTTTCACCTCGGAGATTAAATCGAGAGATGGTGTCGAGTAGTCAGGGCTCATATAAGTTTTAAAGCACCTTATATTCAGGGATATAGTTCGAGGACTATACACGTTTGAAAGTTGAAAGTTTACGCGGTGCTGACTATCTACGAGTGCGGACTATGGAAGGAGTTTTCTTTTAAAGTTGCTCAATATTGCGAGACATCACATATTTTGTTCATATAAGGTTGTGTTAGTGATGAGTTTTCTATGATGAAAATTCTTTTTGGTTTGTGTGCCAATAAACGTTTCAATTTTCAGGATGCTCTGTTTATGAGCATCTTACGTGCGAACTATGCTGACTATAGTCTGAAAACTACGACAGGCAGCAAAACAAATATGAAACAATAAAATAAAAAACAAAAATGTTTAAAACGAAATAATCCGCGACAACTTGTTAGGTAAATACTGGCCCGTAAAATGACAATTAGGCAAATTAATGCTCTGCGTGTTTCCTTAGATTTATGTTTTACACGCGTAAAGCTATCTGCAGCACCAGTGGGTATGCGCGCACCAGAGATCCAGGGTTTAAATCATTCAATTTTATTAAAATCAATTTATATTTTGAATTGCGGCCTGCGTTTGGTTACCACATTGTGCACTTCTTTTTAAAGTTCATGGGCGAGTCTTCACTGCAGGCGAACACAGCAATGAATTCTGGAGAATTTCCCATTGGAAGGTTCGTCCTGGAGAATAAAACATAAAATTAAATTTGTAACCGTTTTCCAATATCTGGTTGGCTAATTTATTAGAACTGTGATTCACAAAAAAGCTTGAAGAATAGTTATTAAAAAACTAAATCTAAGATAGCAATCTTAATGGCTAAAGCTTAAAAAAAGCTAAAGCGACAGCAGGTGTTCCGTTGGCTGAAACCAAAGTAAATGTAAAACCTGCTACCTTCGTGTCGCTTACGCTCAAATGAAACCACAACTTCGACATCTTAGGGAGCACACAGTATTGCGCCAATATTGGCGTCGGATTGGATAAATAGGGCAAATTAATTTTGATACTGATGATATTGGCGCTGGATCGTAAAGATCGGCTCAGTATTACCATGATGTGGCCGATGTCGGCGGAACATCACTAAGGTCGGCCATTGCCACGCTAATATACAGTATCCAGCGCCGTGTTCCGGTAGTTTGTCGGGTCTGAATTGGCTATATCGGCCGGTATTAGGAATTTTTGACCGTTTCTAAAACGATACTAAATCAGTCGCACCGGCCAATCGCGGCGGCTGCAGCTGTTGCCACGGGCCGCGCCGAGGGCGCGACGGATAATCAGCGGCTGGAACTGGGTTTTTCCGTACTAACAAACGCAAAAAATCTCTTTTTGTAGTAACAGTAGAAAACGGAGGGCCCATGGTGCTTTCTAAAATCGTTAGTTTACAAGGTTTGCGGAACAATTGATATTGTTTTTACACGACCCTGTCTCAGTGGTGATTTCAAGTAGCGCGTCCCGACCTAGGCGCATCCCAACTTCGGCAGTAATTCGCGGCGCGTCCGCTTGGGTGTCGGGGGTGGCACCCCTGAATCTCTCATCCACCGTGTCTGTTTCGGAGTTAAAGTGGCTGATTAAAGCCAAAATAGAAGCCACGTACAGTTCCTCGAGTGGCCAGTGCAGTTGAAACGGCGGCGTTGCGATCGCTATGAACTCGGTTCTCGAGTACGGTTAGGTGCAACTTTTTCAGAGCAGGCTCTATGGCAGTTTCCCAACTGATCGGTTAATTGTATACTAACGTTGGCTTGGTCCAAGTTCGCTGACACCGCAGCGGCTGTGGCCACGTTAACCGATATTCGACCATCTCTGCCCAGAACTCGGATGATATCGCCGATTCTGGCCCGTTTTTAGACCGATCATTAACCGATATTGGCCGAATACTGGGCCGCGGTGCGAAACACGAAACTGGGCCAATATTGTGAGCAATACTCCCCCGACGCTGGCCCAGTATCGGCGTGCTGACTGGGATGTCATTTTTACTACTCATAAGCACTTCGTACGTGTTATCCAAATTCACTCATCAATGATTGTGTTAAAATCATTTGGACATTTTCAATTAACGATACAATGAAACACTCTTCCGGTAACATAGTTTTAACACCCGTGCCACCGAGGTTCCGAAGACCATAATATAGGCAACCAAATATTATATGAGAGTTCATGTACGATAAAAATAATCAGGCAGAATTAATGAAGACACGAGAAGTAACATGACTTCGTTCTGCACATTGTTATGCTCTATTATCCTGGGAGAGCATATTTTCGTGGCGACTAACGTTTGTACTTCAAATGCTCACGTTTCGTCTTAATCCTAACTTCACGTTGCACACCCAGTTTGGCCAAAACCACCGAAGCTATCTCCATTCCAGCGTGGTATGACAAAGAACCAACGTCAACAAACAGCTGGAGAAGACATGGCCCTCCGGTTGGCAATCTCCAATGAAGAATTCGCGAGCAAAGCTGGCCCCGTATTTTTTCCACAGGAATGTCCAGCGAGTTATGACCCAGCCAAAGTTAGATTTTCATTCCCTCCACCTCAAGAACCCATGGACCCAAGTATGGAGCGGCCCTTTACCATGGCAGAGCTGCAGGGCGCACTTTTCTCAATCACAAAGTTGCATGGTGCTCCGGGGCCCGACATGATAACTGTCCCGGCCCTTCGCAACCTTCCGGAGGCAGCGATGCAAGAACTTCTGGACATCTTCAACGAGTCCTGGGAGCTGGGTCAACTTCCCGCCATCTGGCGCCACGCCTCGGTTATACCAATCCCAAAACCAGGCCGAACTCCAAAACAGCTCACAGATATGCGACCCATCTCTCTGACGTCACATGTCGGGAAGCTTATGGAGAGGATGGCGCTGATGCGGTTGGAATGGCACATTGAAGCAAACAACGTCCTCCACCCGTGCCAGACTGGCTTCCGCCGGGGTCTCAGCACGCAGGACTCGCTGGCCCTCTTCGCTGAGGATCTTGCCGGCAAGCACCCGCGCTACGACATCAAAATAGCGGTTGCTATAGACGTGAAGAAGGCTTTTGATAGTGTTCCACATCCTACAGTGATGGCCGCCGCATCCGCGGCGGGCCTCACCGGCAAGCCTCCAGTATATCAGGGCGTCCCTCAACGGGCGCACCTACAGTGTCTCAGTAGGAAATGCACAAGCTCCTGCGGCTCCACTCGAGCTAGGAGTCCCACAAGGCGCGGTGCTTTCCCCGCTACTCTACAACCTAATGATGGCGGATTTGAGCCACCGCCTCGACAAGATCCCAGGCATCCGCCACACAATTTACGCAGACGACATCACAATCTGGACGACGGGTGGCCCAGTTGGCCCTCAAAATGATTCCGCCCAAGAAGCACTGGACATCGTCGCCGGATTTTTGATAGAACGCGGTCTAACTCCGTCACCTGATAAGACGCAGTACGCCGTGTTTGGAAACACCAACGCACACCGAGAGGCGACCCCGTGCATCGAACTCAAGTTCGGGGGCTCAGTCATCACCGCCACAAACGTGCTGCGTGTTCTTGGTGTCGACTTTTCCGCGCACGGCCCACCTGTGACGTGGCTGAGCAAAACCAAAGCCTCCGTAGTACATATGCTGCACCTTATCCGTCGCACCACAGCTAAGGACTGGGGCGCCGACACCCACACATTACGCATGCTTGTTAGGAGCAGGGTGTCGAACCGGAACCGAACCGAACCGAAAACCGGAACAGAACCGTTATTTTTAGCCGAACCTGAACTGAACCGAACCGAAATCTTCGCCGCCATCTTGGAACTGAACCGGAACCGAACCGAAAAAAAATATAACGGTAACCGGTTCAAAACGGTTCAAGGTAATATTTGTTTTCTTTTTTGCTAGTATCACAAAATGAACATATGGGAATAAACAATTGGCGGCTGTATTTCTATCTGTTGATCGCATCGTCATATACATAATTGCAACGTATGATAAATTGTGGGTTTTCATGGCACCTTTGTTGGCACTATGATTAACCATGTGTCAAGTTGTCACGTAACGTCATGGTGTCAATACATGTTGTCAAGTAATGTCACGTGGCCTCGTGACGTCACGTAACTCACTGCGTTAAATCGATTTAATTTGAGGAAGTCACTAGATGTATTAACCTTGTTGACAGCATGACGTAACATGACATCACGATTTCGCACCGAGAGTCACGTGACTCCGTGACGTAAGCGATTTTCATATCCCCTAGTCGAGTGCTCGGGTTCATGACAATCAGCATGGCCAAACATTTAGGTAACGGCTCATGTCAATTAGATATGATAATCAATAGCCTAACACTAACAATATCTGAAGCTCAGCCCAAGCTTTTGCTTTGCAAACCCTAGCAGTCTAGGGCATGACTGTGATGAACACTGGCGGTATATAATTAGGGTCAGATCACGTGGCCGCTTGTTCAAATTGCGAGTTGAGGAGATATCGACAGCTGTCTCTGTCCTTTATTTTTTCTGCATCTGTTATTAGGGGAAAACTAATGAATGTTTCCGCAACCTATCAACGTCACGGGTTATTTCTCAACACTATTTATTGAAAGTACAAAAAAAAAATGTTGCAAGACCAATTTTACATCATTGAGGCATTGAAACATTTTTTCGTTGTTGCTGAAGTATATCCGAAAGATGTCCCCGAGAATAGAATTTTTGAAATGACTAAATGCGACCTATTAATATGACGTTACATAGAACTACACGTGTGTACGGAAGGAATACCTAAAAAAAGAAGATATTTTAGAGACGTGAGAGGAACAGCCGAACGTTGGCAGTCGCTGTAAGTCTCACACGAGCGTCGTTCTCAAGTTATTACCCAAGTTTCGACCCCTCTGTATTTTGTTTAAATGAGCTATAACATATTTCTATACATTACCAAAATACTACTCAGGATCAGTCCCTAATGTTAATAACTGATTTAACTTGGCGTTGCTGTTTCTTCTAGGCAATGGTAGTCGCCGAAAAAATTAGAAAAATATGAGCATCGTTCATTCCCTCAACTCGTAGCCAGAAGCGGCCACGTGGCCTGGTGCCTATCTTATGCCGCCAACGTTAATCATACCCCCGCGCTGGAGTTTTAAAGGAAGAAAACGCGTGCTGGAGCTCCAGGCATTGTTAGAGTTCGACTATTCTCATCACCACAGCGGTTGGACACGAGCCACTACCCAAGTGTCCGCCGAGGCATTGATTGTCACGAGCCGATGTACGGTGCTCACACAGTTCTCCTGCCCAAACCATGAGTCACGCTTGACTGTCGACAACCGGGTGGTTTTGATCCCACAATTACGACATCAATCTTTGAGAAGGCAAGACTAAAAGAAATAGTCTCGTTCAATCCTCGCAATTTCACCGCGGCAAAGAAGCTTCTGAGTCAGTGGCGCCCTGTGCGAGTACACTTGGACCAGGGGACTAGTACGCCCCGGAAAAGTCATGCACATTCCAACCCGATATCGTTTCATGACCCCTTTAAACTTCACGGGGTGCAAAATAAAAGCAATGAAAGGTTGCGGTTAACAAGTGTCAAATAAAATTGTCGAATTAACAGACACAAATGAAGGAGGCAATTCCTCAGGAATACTTTCAGCCTTTCCACTCTGGTGAAGATGGAAGGCCAGAAATGCTGTACTATGGTGGGAATGAAGTAATGGCCGGCCGCCAGTCGGCAAGCCAGACTGGAA